ATTTAGGTGCCATCAAACCTAGGAAATTCATAAAAAATCTGAAGCTCTAAGATTTTTCAGTCCCGATATGTTCGAGCAAAAAATGTCCATGCGTGTTTTCATGAATATATCCCATTTCGAAAATAGTTGTGGACCGGTAGGGGATCGAACCACTCCTCTTTATATTCGGACACGACGTGTTACCCACCGCCCTGCCGGCCTTATAAGCAAGGGTCAGTTTGGCCGCATATTTACTGTGTGTCTGCCTTTCAGGGCAGAATGCACCTTACTTTTCCTCTTTGTCTCTTATAGACAGGTTTCCTCTTTTTCTTTGTGACGGCTACTTCTTGATTAGCTTTTCGCAAGTTTTTCGCAACACTTGCAGACATCTGCATGTACAGAAATGCGTCATCAAATCAAACTCGTGATATTTTACCGCTAACATGGCGAATGAAGAAATTTTAACATATCTTCCAGAGAAGAGAGCGGCTTGCACATCCATGCGATGAGGACTTGAATTTTTTCCTAACATTTCTTGAAAAGTCTGTTTGTTTGACAAAAGATGGGCATAGTGCGTTGTATGTTCTCATGGGCCGACATGAGACGCAGATGGATCAAACAAGTGTTCACCTTAAAATTATCCCTGCCCAGCAGTTCCAGAGTTCCGGAGAGCGGAAGGCCGGCATTGAATGTTACCCCTTCATGATGTACTTTTCAGCATCGTACCTGCTGATTAATTGGAGAGGTGTATCATCCATCTCGTGCATAATTAGTTAATTTGTTTTATTCTGCTGCCACTGCTGCTGTTGCATGGAATCTATAGTCCACTTTTCAGCTTGCTCCCCTACCCCCCTTCCCCCTCCCGCCCTTACCTCCACTTGACTTTCCATTCCTTAGCGTCGCCCCTAGCAACTAAACTTCTGTGTGTTTCTCTCCATAGCACATAAGCACATTCTTTTCTGGATTTGTTCTCTGGCCATTTCCAGACGTCTTTACAGCAATTCTTCATATATCATCTTTGTGCTCCTCCCCAATTGCCCTTGCACATCCCTAAATTTCAGCAGATTTTGATGCTTCTTGCATTTTTAAAGAGTTTTTCGATTAAATGCGTTTAAAGACAAGTTGTGCATATGCTCAAGTGCGCCCTACGTCCCATATGGGTGCAAGCATGCGTATATGTGGATGCGGTTTAACAGCCTATCATGGTACAATTTTTTTAAGGTGTGACTGCAAAATCGTTGAAGCAGGTATCTATGCGAAGGCTCCAAAAAAAACCCAAACTGCAACTCACCAGGCTTGCCGGTGCGATTATGCGTTTTTGCGCTAAACTTGCAGATTGCTAACGGCAAGACTGGTCCTACGTTGTAGCTTGACACCTGGACTCATATTGGCTGTGTTTGACCTCTCTCAACATGTAAGGGGAAAGAATGTCAGCTGGGATGGTGTTGTACTGTGGGGACGAATGGGCATACAACGTGCAAAATTATTAATTTTTTGCATGAAGTCCGTTTGTTTTTTCGATGACTGCTCAGGATTGTCAAACCTGCAAAATACACTCGCTTTCGAGTTTGCGATAAAATTGAGTATTTGTCACGTCTGTGTGCAGGGAATTTCGCCTCCAACCTTAATTAAGACCATGCGTGAATATGGAACATCCCTGCAAAGTTTCAGGCTCGCAGCTTGTCTGGTAAAATAGTCGCTTCGCTACAGATATCTTTGAAATGCCCTAATCCTGACGCAAGTGCAAATCGAAACTCAGTTTAGGTATATGGTTTCCTATATAAAAGATAAGTATCTTGGCAAAATTTTAGCTACTGCCTTCTTGCTAGTTTTCGAGTTAGCATAGTGCCAACTGCGAAATTTGTCGTGACCGTACGTGCGACATAAGCGTGTGCGATAGCTAAATTTGAAATCTTTAGCTCATATATGTACAAAGAATATCCCTGCAAAGTTTCAGCTTTCTATTTTGTTTGGATCACGAAATCGCTTCCCGCAAAAGAAATTTTGCACACTTTTCCAGTTGTTACGCCCGCGAGATCTAAGCACGTATGAGCGAAGATTTCAAAAGGGGAATGTGACATTGGGATGGGAATATGACCTCAAAATTTCATCGTCCCAGCTTTTTTGGTTGCTGAGTTGAAAGTGGGTAACAAAGTTCATTCGCTTGCGAGCACACACAGACGACCTTTCGACAATATGCGTTTTTGCTCACTGTAGCAGCGCTATAGCTCTGTACAGCAAAAGCGCAAAACTAGTCGAAGACGCACATGGATGCTGAATTTAATTTATTTGGGTCGCACATGAATAAGAAACAACCTCGTAAGCTTTCAGTAATCACGCGGCTGGAGATGTGAGATTAGATGAGCTTGGCCCACGATAGTACGCAGCTAACTATCATGAAATTAACTTTTACACTTCCTTCTCCTACGTAACCTCCACGTACGAACACGTGGACAATTGACGTTTGTGTGTGTGTATGTGTGTGTATATGTTTGTGTGTGTGTGTGTGAGCATCTGCATATTGCGGCCTGCAGAACTACACGGAGAGCTATGAAGGTGAGATTTTGCCAGTTTAATCCACAAATCCCTCAGGCGGAAAAAACAACCGAATCTCATTTCTCACGTACGAACAGGTGGGTTTTTCAATTTCAAGAATCGGACAGGTTAGACGAAATTTTTTGAGGATGTTCCCCGTCAATGAGCAACCCAAAGAATCTAAACTCCATGTACGTTAGCGAACCGCATCAAGTAAAATTTCAAATTGAAACATTATTGGCGCTACGCCAGTGCCAGAGCCAGACCGAATAGAAAACTGAATTTTTACAATATATTTTTTGTCCAAGCGCGACTCGTGTGCGTAAAATGAGCTTTCATCATTTCCATTTGCAAAATTATCTCTCGTCTCTGCGGACACACAGAACCCCCATGCTGAAAGTTTTACAGCTCTGTAACCAAACCAGTTGGTGTTCAGATTTTGTGAGCATGGCTCACTAACACGTACGGCTAAAAGCGCGTGAAAACTATTTTCACATCCTCCACATATCTCACGCACGAATACGTGGAATTTGAAATTGACAGTTTTGTAATTCCGCAACCAAAATGTCTTGGCCCATGACATCGTGCGAGAAAATGAAATCGGCTTTCGTGTACCTCCTATGCCTAATGTATTGGGATATGGGATTTGATGCCAACAATTTTGCGACTCGGCTAAAAATTTATGAACGTCCACGATCATGTATAGGTGATTTTGTTTAAAACCAACTTTCAATTCTCTACTTCTCGTTCGAGCACATGAATGCTGTCGTAAACAGTTTCGCAATTGGCTGTGCAAAAAACATTTGCTCGTGCTGATCCTTTGACGGACGCCGCATTTTGTATTGTTTGCAGATGGGAAGAAAGGGAAATGACGATAAGGGAATAGGATGTGGGCATTTGCCACTCGTATTCCCTCATCGTCATTTCAGTCGTTCCTTCCCTTCAGAAATAATCGCGGGTGTTCATCAAACAGAGTCACTGAATGTTTGTAGATTTACAAGTGTGCATTTTTTACTGTACAGCTTAATTAGACTGCACATTAAAGAAACAAATCACCACTGTAAAAACTGGCTTTCTTTTACACAGAAAACTGAAACAGAATTGGTTTTGTGCTGTCACAGTCATAACTTTTCATATGTTTTTGTATGCGCGAATGGAATTCGCATCAGTACTAATCCACGTAATAGGTGTGGATGTTGTCTAACGGAATTAGGCCCAAAACCAGCAAAGTCTAGTAAGCTGTCACACTACGAACCGAGAGGCAGAATACATTTGCCCGTAGAACAATTTTCTGAAGTTCGTGACTGATCTGTAATTCTCGATCGGACTGATGACTATGTGGCAAAGCAATCGGTATCAAAATATCTGATAATGATTCCTGTACAGTGCCGCACACTACAGTAGATTTCAGAATAGCTTTTTACAATGAAGCCCAAATTCTGGCTCATTTTGTTTCGGAATGGGGCAAATTACTGATAAGAGATTTTTTTTTTGTAATCCAAGTGTGTTTTTCATTTTATCAAATAAAGTTGAAGATCTGAGGCTTATTTTACCTCACGAAGTTGGACAAAGTTCAAAATCAGCTTTCGTATTTTCACGACGTTTTAATTATTGCAACCAAAAAAGTCAGAAGATAGAGATCAGCATTCAGATTTTTTTACGGTTCTGCGTGTAAACAACAAATTAATTCTTACGCGAGTGCTGTGGAATGAAACAAGTAGTAAATTGAATTTTCTATTTTTTGTGAACACAAGGCTAGAAGAATTCAGTTCATGTTACAAACTTCTGTTTTTCCTGACTGACACATATCTTTTTGCGAGTGCGCTTCTTGCTCATGCTGGAACCATGAGAGTGAATAAGATGCGACCGTAGTGACGATATCCTCCGAAACTCAACATTTTTACTATTTCACCAAAGTTGAAGTTTTGAAGCCATCGTTTTCAAAAGCAAGCAATCTGCCACAAACGTGCCTCAGGTGTACAATCGAAATAATATAATGAGGTACCGGATCACATACAGGAAACAGGATCACATACATGTCTTCTGAATAGCACAAGTTTCGCATGTTATACGTCTGTGCAAATGCAATGCATTAGGAAGCTGTGCATTCAGAGCAATTTATCGCAAAACTTATGACCGCCCAATTGCGTGATACGTGTGTTATTTCAGGATACATCTTAATTACACACATGACAACTACAGTGTTTTCTTTTAGTGGGCTTACGATGGAATGTTTTCCCAATGACTGAATGGAACATCCGTTATCTTCATGAGATGGTATCTTTTCAACAAGCAGTTCAGAAAATCGTTTATAAATTTCGTGGCAGTCGCTGAAAAGCAAATTCCCTTCGCTTCCAACCCGGCTAACCTCTCTTTTCAAGACTGTCTTGATAGTTTCGTGTTTACACACTGTCTTTCTTAATTATTCTTGCAAAAACAGTTTTAAAAGTTCAAATTTTTGCGTTTATTTTACAGAAGCATCCAGAATGGGCAGTGCTGCAAGCAACCAACAGGCGACTGGAACAGTTAAAGCAGCAGCTGCGAGTATGGGCGGGAGGATGCCATCTCGAAAAGCCACGTCGAAGCAGATCGATAAAGAACTGCAGAAGGAGAAACTTGCGCGCATGAACACTTTCAAAATTTTGTTGTTAGGTGTGTTTACAGTTAACAACCAAAACATCAAGCCAAGACGTCAAAGAAATCTGTTTCGCGGAATTGGTTTTGTACCGCTGGCTGGTGAATTTTTTTTGTGCCGATCGCCTCTTCTTCAACACTTGCTTCCATAACTCTGCTTCTCATAAAACCAACATTTCGTTGAGCCCTTTCTTTCGACTTTTTTTAACCAAAACGGTTTAAGCTTGTTACCACTGAATCAGCTCAGCCAAGATGAAATACTAATTTCTCGAGATATTAACAGCACCAGGAATAGTTTGTAGCAATATTCAAATGAAGAATGTGAGTTTTGATTATTTGAAGGAAATAAAATTCCTCTACAGAAAAACGGCTCTGATACACTTGTACAATATGGTTTTCAGGCGGTTCGGAATGCGGCAAAACAACGATTTTTAAACAGATGAGGTTTGTAACATTTCTGTTTTTCACTACTATTCAGCAGCAACCTGGTCAGAAGTGAGGTAGCAATGAGGAAAGGGGCAGAAGAAGGGAATCGCTGAAGATGATGCTCTTTTTTCTACGCAATACATGATGAATTTTTGCTTTTCATCTAAAATTTTTGAAGACCCAGCATGTTATCTTCTATAACTTGCATTTATTGAGTACCTAATAAATTTTAATGGTTGAACTCATAATTATTAAATAAGAGGGGTAATATCCCGCCTACCATTTCAAAATGTGCGAGCTTTCTCATCGAAAAAATTCTGGCTTTCTAATAGCTTTGTAAAGCGAATTAACTAACGCCTTTTTTTCCTAAGACCAAAGGCCAAGGGTGCATAGCAAGTCCCTGCGCATCCTGGCTGTTAAAGGAACCATTTGCATTGTTGATAAATGTTTAAATGCAGGATCTTGCACTTGGATGGCTTCACCACGGAAGATAAGAACCGCTATCGACAGTCCATTTTACGCAATGTTATTGATTCAGTGGCGCAGATGCTCAAAGCTTGTGAAACATATCGCATCGTCCACGAATACGTTATACAGGTGGCTAATTTTAGGAATAATTCATTTAATACATACTGCCAAAAAGTGTTTAAAAGAAAGCATCATTGATAAACGAATGACTGAAGATATTGGGGTGGACCAATTTTCAGTGAGCCTATTGTTTTTGAATGATCGAAAGCTTCAAACCAGGTCAACGACTCTGTTAGCTTTTAGCAAAAAAAAAGCACGTTCTCGATCTAGCGTCTGCGGATCGAGCTATTTCAATTATCTTTTTATGCGTTTTTATTTCATTGTTAAAATGCAACCTAGGCTGAAACGCACCAGGCGAGCCAGTGCGATCATGCGTTTTTGCACCAAACTTGAATTAGGTTAACTGCATAAACGGTTGTTTCTTCATACATACCTTGTGCGGCCAATACCGTAAATCATTGTAATTTTCGCATAAAAGAAAATAAACAACTTCCTTTTAGCGGTCATTTTTATGCGTTTTTGCATATATGCAAAAACATATTGTGACGACCTCGGTGTATGTGGGTATGTTCGTCTGTCTGTCTGTCCGGGTATTTCAACTCGGCACTCAAGCAAGCTCCGGCGCCAAAATTTTGTGAGTGGCTTCCCTGGCCAAGTGCAACCCCCAGGACTGCGGTACCAATCCTCAAGCACGTCTAGGCCCCGCGTACAAGCGCCTCAAAGTTTTGGCGGGAAAAT